AATGGGTTACTTGAAGAATATTTGCGCCACTTCGTCAGTGCCAATCAGAAGGATTGGGTGAGACTCCTCGATGTAGCTCAACTTTGTTTCAACGCCCAAAAGAGCTCCTCATCAAACAAGAGCCCTTTCGAGCTGACCATGGGCCAACAACCTCTCTTGCCTCACATAGTAGCAGACACCGAGGCCGGACGAAGTACTCAAGCTCGAGAATTCAAAAGGGAGTGGGAGCAAAACACAGAGATTGCTCGGGCCTACTTGGAGCGAGCAGCTAGGAGAATGAAGAAGTGGGCTGATCAAAACAGAAGACCGTTGGAGTTTGATGTTGGGGATATGGTGATGGTGAAAGTGTTACCCGAACAACTGAAGTTCTTGAGAGGAAGAGATCGAAGATTGATCAGAAAATACGAAGGCCCCATCCGCATCATAAAACGAATAGGGAAGAATGCGTACAAGGTCGAACCTCCAGCATAGATGAAGATACACCCAGTCTTTCACGTCAGCCGCCTCAAGCCCTACCACCCAGATCAAGAAGACTCAAGCCGCAACATCAGCAACCGAGCCAGCATCAGGAGCAGACAGCGCAGCACCTTCAGCAGAGACCTAAGGATCAAGAACTTTAGTCTCCTTAGTCATATTTTGTAAGTCGACGAGGACGTCGACAGCTTAAGTGGGGGAGGATGTTAGGATCCAACCTATTTCATCATGTATTTTGCTTTCTTATGTCTTTACTTAGTTTATGTTAGACTTTCATTGTATTCGTGTAAGTAGTTTAGGCGCTAGAGTAGATTATTGTGTTACTGTCATTTCAGTGTTCATTAGTATTTCTCCATGTAAACAATATAAAGCTCTATATGGAGCGATGGTTGAATGAATGAAAAAGCTCCTATTTGGGTTGCCTTGCTTTAAGACTTGCGTGTTGATTTAAGCCTTTATAGATATTGTGCTTGCCTTGTTTTAAAGCTCCCCACCAAACCAAGAGACTCTCAAAGACGCCTACATCCTTGTCGGTTCCGCTTGTGCCCGCTTCGAAGTATCGGCCGTCACAAGCCCCGACCCTGCACTCGTTACTAACGATTGCCTCATTGAGATACCCTTGGTCCGTGTTGCTGTGTGCCCACGAACCTCTCTCACTCTAGGCTTGCGTTCTTGTTTCCAAAATATAAGAGCGCGCCGCACGATCCGGTGTCAAACCACTCGAACCGTGACACATAGCCACAACTCTTAAGAGTACTATCAAACTTCTCAAACCATTGCTTAGGTGCTTGCTTAAGACCATAAAGAGACTTTCTAAGTTTACACACTTTATGTTCTTGCCCTTTCACCATAAACCCTTCCGGTTGAGTCATATAAATTTCTTCATCAAGATCTCCATTAAGAAAAGCCGTTTTGACATCCATTTGGTGAACCACTAAGTCATGAATTGCCGCAAGGGCTATCAAGGTTCTAATGGTGGCAATCTTAATCACGGGAGAGTAGGTGTCAAAGAAATCTATACCTTCCTTATGGGTGAAACCTCTAATGACAAGTCTAGCCTTGAACTTATCTATGGTCCCATCCGGTCTAAATTTCTTCTTGAAAATCCACTTACAACTAATAGGTTTAGAATCCTTAGGCAAGTCACAAAGGTCCCAAGTATGATTGGACATAATAGAATCAAGCTCACTCTTAATGGCCTCTTTCCAAAAGCTAGCATCTATAGACCTCATTGCCTCATCATAAGTCTTAGGGTCTTCCTCCAAGAGAAACAAAGACACAACATGCTCATTCAAACAATTCACATCAAAGTCTTATACCACAAAGGAAGTCAAAAAGTCCGGTCCAAAGGAAGACTCTACTCTAGGTCTCTTACTTCTCCTAGGTACAACTTCTACCACTTTGGTAGAAGAAGAGGGGAGACTAGAACTAGACAAAGAATCAACCAAAGGCACATTCATACTTGACTCACTAGCATGTATATCAACATTAGAAGACAAAGACTTATTCATAGGAAAAATATGCTTAAAAAATACCGCATCTCTAGCTTCACAAATCGATCTATCATTTAAAAGCATGAATCTATAGGCCGCACTATTATAAGCATATCCAATGAACACACAATCAAAAGTTTTAGACCCGATGGTGGATTTTTTTTAAATCCGGAAGGGCCACCTTAGCCAAACACCCCCACACTTTCAAAAATTTTAAATTTGGACTATATCCCTTCCAAAGTTCATAGGGGGTTTTATCCAATTTTTTTATGGGGCACTCTATTGAGAACATAACAAGCGGAAAGAACCGCCTCTCCCCATAAACTATCGGATAAACCGGAACTAAGAAACATGGCATTCATAGTCTCTTTTAAAGATTTATTTTTCCTTTCGGCAATACCATTTGATTGGGGTGTGTAAGGTGGACTTGTTTCATGCATGATGCCATTGGCTTCACAAAAATCTTTTAAAGAATCTTTACCATATTCACCACCTTTATCGGTCCTAACTCTTTTGATTTTTAAGTCCAATTGATTTTCAACTTCGGCTTTGTACTTTAAAAATGCACTTTTGGCTTCATATTTTGTTTTAAGCAAATAAACTTTGGTATAGCGAGAAAAATCATCAACAAAGGTAATATAATAATTTTTCCCACCTCTACTAGTGCAATTTTTAAAGTCCGCTAAATCCGAATGAATCAATTCAAGTAATTTTGTACTTCTTGAGACCATTTGCTTAAATGGTTTCTTAGTATGTTTGGCCTCAACACAAATTTGGCATTTGTCAAGTTTATCATCCATTGAAAAATTAATCAAATTCATGTCCTTTAACTTTTTCAAATAAGAAGAATTTAAATGTCCCAAACGATTGTGCCAAACATTCAAAGACTCAATAATATAAGCAAAAGAAGTACTTCCATTCTCATTCATGATATTCAAAACAAACAAACCATTATTGAGGTAACCTTTCCCAACAAAGTCTCCATTTTTAGACATTACAATCTTGTCGGCCTCAAAGACAAGTTTTAGGCCAGCTTTGTTGAGAAGGGCTCCCGAAACCAGATTTCTCCTAAAAGAGGGAACATATAACACATTATTCAAAAATAAAGTTTTTCCGGAGGTAAGTTTGAGATGGACCTTTCCTTTGCTAAGGACTCCGGCGGTACTACTATTGCCCATGTAGACATGATCGCCGTCGGAGACATCTTCAAACTCAATCATCAAGGCCTTGTTTGCACAAAAATGCCTCGATGCTCCGGTGTCCAAAATCCACTCTATTTTGTTCTCCACCAAGTTGGCTTCAACCACCACTGCTACAATGATGTCCTCCTTCTCAACAAGATTAGCTTGGGAGGTATAACCATCTTTCTTAGCTCCATGCCTACGGGTGCATAGGTAGGCTTTGTGACCTATGACTCCACACACGTAGCACGTCACGTTAGCCTTTTGGATTTTGTTGTTATGAGTGAAATTGACTTTGGACTTGTTGCTTCCCTTAATTTCTTGGAGATTTTCCTGTTTTTAGATACGTTCAAAGAAGACTCAACAAGGTTAGCCTTGGAAGAATTAAGAGACAAAGTTTCAAACTTATCCTTGAGGCGATTGGCCTCTTCGGTTCTCATGTGGCTAATGAGTTCTTGGAGGGTCATGTCCTTCTTCTTGTGCTTCAATAGATTTCGGTAGTCATTCCAAGAAGGAGGGAATTTCTCCAAGAGAACATTGGCTTGAAGAGTCTCACACATCTTCATGCCTTCACCAAGGATTTCAGTCACTAAATTCTCATAATTATGGACTTAAGACATGATCGGCTTTTCATCGTCCATCTTAAAATTGATCCACTTGCCCACCATGTACTTCTTTTTACCAGCATCATCCGATCCATATTTCTTCTCCAAGGAGTCCCATATTATCTTGCTTGACCTGAAATTAACAAACAAATCAAACAAAGTATTATTAGCCACAAACAAGCTTGTTGTCCTTCTCCTTCTTTTTCAAAGCTTCCGTTATGGCCGCCGGGACTGCCTCAATAGCGGTCTTGGCAGCTTCTTCCGCATTCTTGAGGGTCTCAACAGCATCTTCATTCAACACATAGTCAACTTCCAACTGTTCAAAAAAGATTAACAATTTTTGTGACCACCTCTTATAGTTGTTACCATCAAGCGGTTCCAACTTAGAGAGGTCGAGAGGAGTCTTGTTCAAAATGCTACTTGTAATAGACATATTCGTTGTCAAAATTGTTGTAAAATAGGTGTCTAAAACAAGAGCAACGATAAAACAAAAGCAAAAATAAGAGAAGGAAATTCGGTGTGGCGTGAATAATCACTGCCTTTGAAAACGAATTCCGGTGCAACCCGGGTGCTCAATTGTATTCACCAGATCGTTCCCTAAGGTTATACACCACTCTCACGCTAAGGCACTTTAGAATGAGAGGTGGAGCCTACGCAAACTTATGCCCAAAGAGGAAAATGTGTTTAGCTTAATGTGTATCTTCAAGAGTATTTTTCATATGTATATCTTCTGGAAAAACTGACCATGAAATATATAGAACAATAGAGGGAAGATGAAAGATCAAGGGAAGTGAAAAGGTGTGAAAAAATAGAAGAAAAACATGTGTTTTAATCATCATAAAACACCTCTTAAGTGAGGGGTTACAAGAGATTGAAGAAGAAAAGAATTCAAGGAAGTTAAGCAACCCAACAACCGCACTCGTGCCCGGACGGGCGGAGCTTCGCCCGGTCGGGCGAGTATCCAGCCAAAAGATAGGCTGCTCTCGCGCCCGGTCGGGTGAACATCCCTTCATTTTCCAAGCTCCTCTCGCGCCCGTTCGGGCGACGGAACTCGGGAATTACGACCCTTCTCGCGCCTGGTCGAGCAAAACTTCGCCCGGTCGGGCGCCCGGGTCAGGCTATTTTGGATTCCTTCCTTTATTCCAACAGTCAATATATACAAGAATGATGGTCATTGGTCAAGAACTCAAGATGATAAAAGTGCAATGAGATAACTTCACTTATGGTGGTGGTGGTTTGGAGAAAGGAGTGAGGGTGAGTTAGATATCATGTTGGAGATGGTGAATTTCTGTTTATATATATGAGGGTAAATTTGTAAAATGAATTTTATTTTGTGGACGTTAACTGGAGATTCGAGGGTGGTTTAACAACCCCTTTAAAAAAAAAATCAAATGATGATAATTTGAAAATTGGCAATAGAAAGACAATAGAAAAGTAAAAACACAATTTTTGGTTTTTTTGTCTTCAAAAATCGGGATACTCTAAAAAAAGAAAAATGTCAAGCAAAACCTCAGGTGGCAGTTTCCATTCATTATACATTTATACGTCGTAATTTTTTTTAAAAAAAGAAAAGAAAAATTTGAAATCGAGTCATCAAATCTACGTAAGCATACAGGGTACAAATCAAGGATTAAATTGAGAAGGTCAATCCCAGATAAATAATACTCCAAATCGATAGTATAAATCAACATCAAATCACAATTTGGTTGGATTACACATAATTACAAAGGTTGACTTTTAGTGGCTTCTAGTTTTTTTTTTTCTTTTAGAAGTTCTCATTTAGTTCGCCGGAGATCGTCATTTCGTGGAATTCTGCCTCCATATTTCAAGGTATGTAATCTCATCTTTATAGTATCAATTTCTAGAAATTCATCATGATTGAACAGTACCAAAATTTTATTGAAATTTAGTTGGCTCAATATATTGGGAAATTTCCCGTTTCTCATATCGAGAAACGAAATTTGTTTCTCATTGGGTATTTTTTGAATAAATTAACAATTTTTTCATTATTATGGGCTCTATAATTGAATAAAGTTGAATAAAGTTGGTTTATTTACGAAAATGCTACGTGAGAAACAAAATTTATTTCGAGAATGTTTCTCACCATGAGAAACTGGGGCATTATAAATTGAAATGAATAATTAGAATTTCTTTTGAAGAAGTTGAAGTTTCAGGAAAACTTAAATTGTTATTTCACCTGGAATTATGGGTATTTGCCTGAATTTCCTACCATGTGTGAGATCTTGTGTTTTGCCTCGTTGCTCATTAGTGGAATTGTTGTTATTGTTTTTTTTTTTTTAGCTCAAGGAAATGTATTTGAGTTAAATTTGATGTTAGAAATAAAAAGGGAGCCCCATTTAATCTTCAAGTTAAACAAAGCGTTTATCCAGTGACAATTATGTAAATATATCAACATACTAATCATTATGATATTTTCGTAGATAGATCAACATTTGTGGAACCCGTGTTTGATAAAAGTTGTTTATTTATTTAGAGAAATGCTACTAGTAAACATTTTCTCGGAAAGAGGGAGCCCCAATTAGTCTCCATAACTTTGGTTGATTTATATCGTCATATCTTTGCTCCTAGGTATGTTACCTGCATGTTTTGATTGATTATGCTAAATAGCCCTAAATTGCTAAGATTGTTCTCTTGAGGAAGGTATATGTGTAGAGTATAGAGTGATTTCTTGAGCTAATTATTTTTACATAATGTATTACTCTTCCTTTAGAATTACTATTAGAGATTCCATTATATTCTTGATATTTATGTAAAAATTTTGTGAACAAAAATGTATCTACTTTCAATCTTTGGGTTCATTTGGTTTGATCAGGCACTTGTACGGTTTCAATTTCGTGCTCAAAGAAACAAAAGTGACCATGAGATAGATGGATTACATTAGTAAGCTACCGGATGCACTGCTTTGCCATATCTTAACTTTTGTGCCTACAAAACTTGCTGTTGCAACTAGTATATTGTCTAGAAGATGGGTCTCTATTTGGACTAAAGTTCCTGTGCTAGACTTTATCAAGCTTCCTATAAGGACTGTGAGAGATATAATTTCATGAGTTTCATAGATAATGTTCTGCTTAACAATGACGTTCATGTCTGCAACGTTTTCACTTTGAAATACTTAAAGATTTTATAACCGTCCATGTCAACACATTGATCAATTCTACACTGAGACGTGAAATTTGGGAGCTTTATCTGATTAAAGATGATTGGGGTTTACCAAATAAACTTGTGCGCCTGCCAGTGGACTTATTTGCTCGTCAGACACTTAAGGTGTTGAAGCTAAGGGGTACTTTCGAAATCAATGTTTGGTTGAGCTTGCATCTACCAAAACTTGAGACTCTATACCTTCATGGATCGAGGTTTGTAGGTAAAGATGTGCTGAAGATTCTTACTTCAGGTTGACCTGTTCTTAAAGAGCTGATGATTATATATTGTGAAGGCATAAAAGAGCTATATATAGATTCTCTGACCTTGGATAAACTGAAAATATGTAATGAGAGCCAATTTATTGCTGTTAAAGCACCAAATATTAGATGCCTTGATGTAGCTGTTGATGGGTCGAGATATGAAGTAAGCAACCTTAGTTCACTTGATGAAGCCAGGATTTGCTTAGGTGGTTATGAATACGAACCTTGGAAACTTGAACTTATCAGAAGAGTCTCCAAAGTGCAGACTCTATGGCTATCACAGTCTACTGTTGAAGTACGTCTCCTAATCCTTAATCATCTGAATGATGGCGCTAATTTCTAGTTACATTCTGTAGTTTACACTATGTTTTACTCTATAATGATCATCTTTCTTTTTGCAGTTGTTTGGTCATGTTAGTGAGAATGAGCTCCCCATGTTTCCGAACTTGACTCATTTGGAGATTGAAATTGAAAATATTATGTTCCAGATGCTAAAACTTGCTCCGAAGCTAACACATTTAATTGTGGATGTGGTAAGCGCGATATGTATTGGCATTACCTTAAGTGATTGTTCATTTACAGGATCTATGTCTATGAGTGCATGCCTTTCATTTTATTGACATTACCTTATGTGATTTTGTGTATTGATTGTCAGTGTCACTTATTAGATGATGACGCTCTTTCATTTCCATCTGAAATAGTGCCTCTGTGTATTTCATCCATTCAATATATTGAGAATCAAAGATTCTATTGTTTGGAAGAGGACACAAAACTAGTAATGTACATTTTGAAGAATGCAATGTTGTTAAAGGAGTTGAAACTACACATGCATCATCATTGTGTGAGTTTGAAACGTGAAAGGGATGCATTTAAGAAGCTACTAAGTTTTCCAAGGGTCTCCTTTTGCGAAGTCATTATTTGTTCATCTTGTGAATGGGAAACATTGCCCCTTCACTTTCCTGCTATTTCTCCTCAATAATCTCAGTAAGTAGAATAATTAACTCCAATGTTCTCATTGTGGAGGGAACTTTAATGTTTATGAATGTGATTGAAGACAATATATACTCTTTACTGTACATCTGCTTATCACAACTTTTTTTTTTTTTAACTAAAATTATTCTTATTTCAGCTTTGATGCTTATTCTTATTTCAGCTTTGATGCATTACTGATGTTATCTTCATAACATTTAACTCCTAGCCATCTATTTGTAGAACTAAGCTCTTATTTTGTGGTTCTGATTATTTATGTTGCATCTTATTTTGTCAGGAAAAATATTAATAACAAAATGGAAAAAAAAAAAAAAAAGGTTTGAAATTGTAAAACCTCAATCTTGACACCTCTTTCTTATGGAGGCTTTTGTTTGACCATTGCTTGAATGTAGTCCTAGGAAACGCTTTACACTATGTTTGGATAACAATAGTGAAAGGATGGAAAGAAAAAGTAGGAAGAGAAAGGGAGGTAAGGGGAGGGAGAGAGTTACTTTCCAATTTTCTTCTAATTATCCCTAGCAATGGAGGAATTTTGTTTATGAAAAATGGAAGCTCCATTTCCTTTCCCATCAATTGCCCGATGTCTATTCAGACAAGCTAAGAAACATGTGTGAGTAATTGATCATACTAATCATACTGATTGAATTAATTGAGCATACTATCACTTCTTTAGAATTGGTTCGATAACTAATTGAACATACTAATCATTTTAGACCAACCACTTCTTAAGAACCAAGCGCCCTCGTGTGAATAGAGGCATGCAAAAAAAAAAAATCTAACCTGTTCAACCCGATTTGAATTCTAGGATATCTTAATTGATTTTTATGTTTTAGATACTTTGACTCGAATTCGATCGTCGTATATAATTTTTGAATATCTAAAATATTCCATATTTTAATTTATTTTTATTAAAACCAAACATAACAATTGAGAAAAAAAATTCATCAAAAAATAATGTATTTTAATCTGATTTTTTCCGATCTGAAATTTGACTGTACTCAATTCAGTCACTTTCGAGACGGATCTACGTCACGGCCTACGTTTACCACAAACAGTCTTTCCATTTTCAATTCAGATAAAGAAAACTGTACTCGTCAATTAATCAAACCCCCCAAATTAGACACTTCTACTCTTCCTCCTAATAACCCCCAAAAATAAATAAAAAATTAAAAGATTCATCCTTTTTTATATATTCTCTCCAAAATATTGCGTAGAATTTGCCCAATTTGGAGGGAAATTAACGTATTATTATATTTCATTCTTTATTCATTTTATGAGCTTAATTAGGCGGTGGCGTAAATCGTCGGCGGAAATTGTAATGGCGGAAGAACTCAGAACGGCGGCTGCTGCTACTGCCACCGCAACCGGCGCTGCTACGGCGGCTGAAACTACGGTGGATTCTAATGGTCGGAAGAAGTGGACGTGGCCTTCTCTCCTCCGTTGGATTCCTACCTCTACCGATCATATTATCGCTTCTGAAAAACGCCTTCTTTCTTTGGTCAAGTAATTGCCACTTTCTCTCTCCTCCGATTTTGTTTTTGGGTTTTTGTCGTTTTTATGATTTTAGTTGACCCCGTTTGTTGAATTTGATGAAAATGGGTTTAATTTTGTGTTTTTTTTGTTGATGGGTTGTTAGGGTTTTTAGTAATTGATTGGAAATTTTGCTTTGTAATTGTGTTGGATTGGGAAAGTTGGAATTTCATGAATTTATGATGATCATTTATTTCTCAATTTGAAAAATGCATCTGGGATGTTGAGGCTTTTTTTTTTTCCATGAAAGTTGGATGATATATATATATATATATATAATATATATATATATATATATTATATATATATATATATATATATATATATATATATATATATATATATAGCTTTGGTTCATAACCTGATGATCATAACTATAACTATATGAAGTTCAAGGTAAAGTGAAATGAATTAAATTAGTGTCTGGAAGTAATCATCTTATTCTTCTTAATTGTGTAGGAAGAGAGGTATAACTTAAGAATGCATTTTGCAATTTGATGTTAAGTTCATTCTATGAGATGATATGACATCTTGGGTTTTAATGAGTTTGGGATCGTATGTATGTATTGGAAATTTGCCTTATGGGGTTTGATCATTTCTATTTCAGGACCCCCTTTGTGGTGGAACAAGTGAATATAGGTTCTGGTCCGCCTGGTTCGAAGATTAGGTGGTTTCGATCTGCAAGTGATGAATCTAGGTTTATAAATACTGTTACCTTCGACAACAAAGATGAAAACTCCCCGACAATTGTTATGGTTCATGGATATGGTGCTTCACAAGGCTTCTTCTTCCGGAATTTTGATGCTTTGGCCCGTCGGTTTAGGGTCATTGCTATTGATCAGCTTGGGTAAGTATTTAAGTTGTTATTGATCACATGAATCTTGTGTTAGCTTAAATCTGTGGTAGTAGTAAAAGCATCACTGTTACATTTTGGGCTTCCGAACAATCTGGTCTACATGACAATTTTTTTAAGGGATGTAAGTGATCAATTCGGTTGTCTTTCCTTTCCATTCATATTCTTGACAGTGAGAAAGATTTCATTTTTTATGTCATAGGAAGCATGGTCACGAGATGAAAATCATACATACCAACCTACGTGAATTTCCTCTTCCATTATTCCGTGTGTTGAATTTTCTTTAATGATTGCAGAGATTTTTGTTAAAGTTGGTTACTTTTGTTGATCTCAAACATACAGAGGTCACAATGTCCATGAAAGCGACGAGTATCCTTGTGCTGTGGTCTCTATTAAATTGTGACTTAATATAAATGAATTTTTAGAGTGTGGGTGACTAGGTGGAAAACCTACCTCGGATGTTGCTGAAAAGAATCAGCAATTTATTGGAAGGTTAAGAAATTGGACAGAATAATAGAAGTGGCTGATTCATTTTCCCTTTCTGCACCCCATCACTCTCTGTTGGGGTGGATCGAGCTGGATTAATTTTCATATATTTTTTTGCTTCATTGTTTAATTTCTTGCCTTGCAGTTGGGGTGGATCAAGCAGGCCTGACTTTACTTGCAAAAGCACTGAAGGTTAGTCGTGTTTCTTGCTTGTCGATACTTGAAAGGTTAATTGCTTATATTGTTATATGACAGTCCCTAATTATGTAGGTGGTAATACTAGCAGTATAAATGTCATTGCGTTTTTTCTTTAGCTGATTGCAGCTGCTGTAATCTTGGAAAACGCGACTCTTTTCTAATGCATTTCATTTCTTTTTGCTTTGCAGAAACTGAAGCATGGTTTATTGACTCTTTCGAGGCATGGCGAAAAGCCAAGAATCTTGATAACTTCATTCTTCTTGGCCATTCTTTTGGGGGTTATGTTGCTGCTAAATATGCTCTTAAGGCAAGGGATTTAGTTTTTTCCAATCTTCAACTTGGAATTTTCAGAGAACTTCAGGATTATTTTTTCTTATCTAAAGAATTCGTAATTTTTGTTTGTGTAGCATCCTGAGCATGTTCAGCATTTGATTTTGGTTGGACCAGCGGGAGTTTCTGCGGACACAGATATGTCAGAGCGTTTGACCCAGTTTAGATCAACGTGGAAAGGAGCTGTCTTGAACCACCTCTGGGAATCTAATTTTACTCCTCAGAAGCTTGTGAGGTGATTTTACTTATAGTTTTCTTAATGAATATGTTGATATCAAACTAGTAATTACAGGGCATCACTCATGTTTATTAATGCTCTCTAAGTCATGGACAAAGAGTAATGCAAATTGTGAATATGATCTCTTTATGCAACTATTTTTGAGAGAACCTTTAGAGAAAAAGAAACTTGATGAGCTGGTATACATATATGATATATCTAAACTATGGTGTTGAGTTTCTTAATATGCATGGTGCGTTCATGCAGGGGGTTAGGTCCATGGGGGCCAAATCTTGTCCATAAATATACAAGTGCTAGGTTTGGTTCATATGGAACTGGTGAATTGTTGAGTGAAGAAGAATCAAAATTGTTGACAGGTAATTTCACATAAGATTTGCGCTGACAAAGTAAATTACCTATTAGCTATTCTAATTTAATGTCTCTTTCTATTTAGATTATATGTACCACACACTAGCAGCCAAAGGTAGTGGAGAGCTGTGCCTTAAATACATATTCTCATTTGGAGCATTTGCTCGGAAACCGCTTCTTCATTGGTTGGTGCCTTTCTGTGTTCCTCTTCTTCACTCTTAATTTCTATTCCCCCCCCCCCAAAAAAAAAAAAAAAAACAAATATATGCAGGAACAGTATTGGTAAGTCATGTGTATGGTCATTGTTTAAAGGTTAATAACAGTAGTTGTCCTATATCAAGATTTACTTCTCCCATTATTCAAAAAATATTAACTCCACCATTCCCTTCACTCCGTAGTAGTGAACATACCACTGATTTCTTCCATAGATGACAGAAGAAATACAATTCGTTTTTTTAGAAGTTCAAAAACAAAGTGTTACGAGTAGTTATAATCTTTAATATGCAGACGGACATGAAAATGACAGTGTACATAATAAGTGCTAGGCATATACTGTATTGCTTTGCATTCTAAACCTGTCATTCTGGTGGAAATGGGCTCACTATTTTGTGATGGCTTACTGGCTGAAAAAAAAAGAGAGTAGAAATAAACGAAAGCTCTATTCTGGTTCCTAGACTTTCAGCTGCTCGAAAGAGCTTCTTGACTGAAGTATATGAACACCTTTTCTTCTTTCAATGCAGTGCATCAGAATGGAAAGTACCAACTACTTTTATCTATGGTTATCATGATTGGATGAGCTACCAAGGGGCCCAAGAAGCCCGTAAGCATATGAAAGTCCCTTGTGAAATCATTAGGGTTCCGGAGGTATGTCTCTCTCTTTGTTTCTTTCCCCCTCCGAGCCCCTGGAGTTGTCTGTATATTGAAAGCAGTGATATTTATGCAAATTTGCAAGCATATATGGGTGGTTGGGCTGCAATATTTGTTGGCATGGGATCTTTGTAATCTCATTTTTATCTTTTTGCCATTGCAGGCTGGGCATTTTGTTTTCATAGACAACGTAAGCGGGTTCCATTCGGCTGTTTTTCATGCTTGTCGCAGATTTCTGTCATCAGATCCTGATAATGAATCTCTTCCAGAAGGTTTAACTTCTGCTTAATATTGAACTGTATGTTGTAGCTTTATCATTTTTGTGTCTCGCTTGTAGTAAGTACCACCATGTAATTTGTTTACCTGTAAAAACTTACTCGTTCATGGTAGTGAATTTACTACAGTGTATTTTTTTTTGCTCTGTTACAGAGTGATGCTATATAGTATAGAATACGTACAATTCTTTCACTTGTTGCTCCCTACGATTCAACTTTGGTGATTCTCTCATGTATTTGTGAATATTGGTCAATAAAGCATGGTTTACTTACCCCTATGTTTATTTACGTCTAGGGCGTGGCATGCCTCAGTACTTAACGAGGTTACTTCCTTACTGGTATATATTTTTTTCCCCTTTGATACTTATTAAGAATTTAGTGATCCTTTTCCTCTGTGCAGTCCGATAGTATTTTTCTTAAGAAGGTACATTGATTGATCTAACACGTAATCGTAACAAAATAAGATGTTTCATTGGAAATCAGCTTTGGTTAGAATGAGGTTAGCTTTGGGGAAGAAAGTGAACAAGAGCTTATCTCTGAAATGTGGTAAAAGTCTTTTTTTTTTTAATTGAGAGAAAGTGTTGCTATTTGCTGCGATGCCGAGTAGTATTTATGTTATTTACCTATGAAATTTCAAAAATCAATTGCATTTCTATGCAAAGAATCACATTTTAGAAGAGAATAAGCAACAATTTCATTTGTCCATAAGTAGAACAGGGTCAAAACCTTCCACACCTCAGTGTATGCAAGGTTTTGAATTGAATTCACGAACCCTTGTATGAACTTATCGATCCTTATCCTTAGCTTATTACATCGGCAACTCAATACTCATTCAGGTGAAAAGAACAAAACCGTAGTTGGTAGTCGTAGTCCCACTCTCATTAGCACCCTTAACCTCACTATCAAACCCACCTCCTTCGAACCGTACATGTCAAAATCCATTTGGCATCACAGTAGATGAATAAGATGATAATGGATCTGTATCTAGTAGAAACTGTATGTACATGTGTATATACTGAAATACTGAACCCTACTTTGGTTTAAAGAGTTAATGTCGTTTTGAACGTCTTCTACCTGGAAAACGACATGCGTGGTTAATTGCTGTAATATTGTACCTGACTTTGTCTGTAAGACTATATATAGCTAGGTTCCTGCAATTGTTGTCATCTTTACATTCTTGACTAAAATGTTGTCAGTGAAAATAATGCTAAACATTGCGTTTATTTATGAATGTTGTACCACTGCTTTTTTCTTGCATTTGTCACATGCTTTTCTGCCTTTGTTTGAATTCTGGAATGGTGGTGAGATGAGTTAGGGAGAAACATACAAAAAGTGTTTTGTTGAAAGGAGGAAGTAATATCAACTAAACACACTTTATACTAAAACAACTCGATTTATGTGTGACAGTGAAGTTATATGGTTTTACCATGTTATATTAAAACAACTCGATTTATGTGTGATGTGCAACTAAATGTACGAAGAGTATATCATTGTTTATTTGTTTGTAACCCGAAGGCCGTAACTTTTCTAAAGCTTACTAGTCTCTCAATCGATGAGTTAATGGTTACCCCATAAATATTGTGATATTTATATGAGGATAAATTTTTAGTTGGATTAATGGTGAAAAGTGAAGCTTAAAAGGATCTCGAACACATGATTGAAGTAGGTTTTTTTTTCCACTGTAATTTCTTACGTATTCAGAATATATTTTGTTAAATTTCTATGAATTTTGTATAGAAAGAAGACGAACAAATAAAGACGGACCCCTTTATTTGCCATCTTATACAAGCCTCTTTGTTTAATGCTCTGACGTCTTCACGGGTCCCTAAAAACCACCCTCTATTTTTCCAAACAAAATAAAATAAAATAATTAAATTAAAAGTAAAAAAGTTGCTATATTAACGGCTACTTTTCTTTTATATTCCACGTGTCGATTCCACTTTTGGCGGGAATTATATATTTTTTCTTTTTGTACCCAACAAACTTTCCGGATTTTCTGAATTCCCGGGTTCAATTCCTTTGACTGGATGCTGTGATGCAGAAGACTATTATGAATTACTCAACTTTTTTTTTTTTTTACCAATTAATTTACCTCAACTTGCAACATTATAAAATCAAATAACTTAATTAAATACTCTATATACACACATAAAAATCACCATTACATTTTGTTAAAATTGAAACAAAATCACATCATCTGATTTTTTTTTTTTTTTCACCAAAACAAAGTTGGTTGGGTGATCAACTTTTTTCTTTCCTAGGTTATCCGACAGGGGAAGGGAGTGAGGTCGGATCCGTGGAGGACGGGATATCGGGTCCTACCCGACAACCCTCGAGCATGAATACAATATCACCCATGGATGGTCTTTCACTCGGGTCGGGTGCTGTGCAAAGGAGACCTACTTTGATCCCAAGTAAAAATTCTTCCCACTCGGATGATTCAGGGTCTAGTTCGAGCAAACCCGGGTCGATTAGCTCGGATATTTGACCTGTTTGCAACTGTTTCTTGACCCATTTTACAATATCTTCATCTTGCTCAAACATAATGGGTTTTTTCCCTGTCAATATCTCTAACAAAACAATCCCAAAACTGAACACATCCCCTTCTCTTGATACATGACCTGTTAACAACACTTCTGGAGCAACATATCCAAGTGTTCCGATTGGCAGTGTTGATGTTGAGGCTTCGATTGGCGTTGCAATTGTCAATCTGTCTAGACCAAATTCTGATAAATGTGCTTCAAAATCAGCATCAAATAACACATTTTGAGGCTTGATATCACCATGAACCATATCTAAGGAGTGCAAGAATGTGATCCCACGAGCAATCCCAAGCGCGATTAAGTGCCTCATTGGCCAATTCAGGACATGCCCATCATGGTGTGATGCTTCTTGAAGAAGAGTGGCCAAGTTTCCATTAGGCATGTAGTCATAAACTAGGAGTCTTATGTCAGGTGGACCGGCATAATACCCTCTCAACACGGTGATGTTCCGGTGCTTCACTTTCCCGAGCATCTCAGCCTCCTTCTTGAAGCCTCTATCATCAAGGAAACCATCAGGTAATCGCCGGATTGCAAGAACCATTCCATCAGCAAAGGAGGCCTTGAACACCATCCCATACTTTCCTCTGCTTAGAACATTTTCTTCATCAAACTGCCTTGTTGCTTCTAAGGCCTCTGCCAATGTAATCTTACTAGTGAACATGACAAGTTTTGGGACACCATTTTCGCTGCTGCTTCTACTTCTTTCGGCTCCAGAGCTTTTTCTCGGTGGGCTAGGTTTCTTCTCTCCCCCGGCTGCCTTACCTTTGAGCTTCTCACGCCAACGTAGGAGGCTAATGATGTAACCACAACAGCATAATGCTAGGAAAAGAAGCCCAGCAAGTGCAACACCAATAATCAACATCAACTTCCTCATTTTTCTCCGCCTCAAATACGAGCATTCCTTCTTCAATGGATACCCACACAGCTTTCCATTGTCTGCAAACACTGAAGGATCACTGAAATCAGAACCTAGAGTTTTTGGGATTTCACCTTCGAAATGATTCGAGGATAAATTTAGGTTTTGCAAGCTTGATATATGGGTTAGATTTTCTGGGATGGAGCCACTCAAATTGTTTGATGAAAGATCAAGCATTCTAAGGTGTAGCAATTTTGACAATGAGCCTGGAATAGGCCCTGAAAAATGGTTAAAATCCAAGACCAACTTTAGCAAATCAGAGCATTTGGAAATATCTTTTGGTATATTACCATCCAAATTATTATGACCCAAATCAAGCTCCTCCAAATGAGATAACCTTGACAAAGAATTTGGAATATTGCCCACCAAACGATTCCTTGCAAGTTCAAGTACTTGTAACTCTGAACAATTGCCAAGCTCAGGTGGAATTTCACCCGAGACTCGATTATTTGATAGAGAGAGGACATTCAGGGACCGGAGGAAGCCAAAAGTCGCCGGTATGTCACCAGATAAAGAATTGGAGCTAAGATTCAAGTACCTCAAACCAACTAAACTACTAAAACCCTCAATAATATCCCCATGTAAATCATTCTCCTGCAATGCAACAGCCTCCAAATTGGGCAACCCAAACAGTTCAGCAGGAAAATTCCCAGATAATCTCTGTTTGCTCAAATCTAGAACTCTTAGCCTCATCAAACTCCCAATGCTACTCGGAATCGAACCCGAAAACCCACAATGACTCAAATTCAACACCGCTAAACTCTTCAAATCACCAACTTCTACTGGAACATGCCCAGAAAAATTGTTAAAACTGAGGTTCAAAGTGGTCAAATTAGTGAGTTGAAGCACCTCATTTGGGACCACTCCAGTCAATTCATTTTCACTCAAATTCAACACTTCCAAACTCTGAATACTCCCGACATCAAAGTCAATCAAACCCAAAAATCTGTTTCTTCCTAATGACAAAACCCTCAAATTACTCAAATTCTGAAAAATTTCTGGAATTTTCCCAGAAATTTGATTCCCTTCAAGATCAAGAACCCTCAACATACTACATTGTCCTATTTCCTTAGGAACTTGACCTTTCAATGAATTATTAGCCACCCTAAACTCCTCTAAATTCATCAAATTTCCAAAATTTGCAAAAAGTGAACCAGTGAAGAGGTTTCCAGAAAGATCTAAAACCCTCAACGTTGGAATATCCGCCACCCAATCCGGAAACTCGCCAACAATGCGGTTCCCGTGAAGGTCTAAGACCTCCAATCCACTCCTAAATGTGCACCCATTTGGCGGCTTAGCGATTCCCGTGAGGGCATTGAACCCTAAGAAAACGAATCGAAGCGACCGAGGGTTGGACACATTACAAAACACAGAGGCAGGGACTACACCAGAGAGTTTATTAGAGGTAAGAGAAAGTACCTCCAACTCCGGCATTGCACCAATCGTCGCCGGAATATTACCGGAGATGAAATTATCCTCGGCAGAAATATGAACAAGCGATGTACAATTCAGTATCGCCGAAGGAAGAGTACCCACTAAAAGATTCGAATCCAACCACAAGTATTGCAGCCGTTTAAGCGCGCCAATGCTGGCGGGTATCTCGCCGGAGAACCTATTCGACGAGAGGTTAATCAGCGTCAGCTGCAAGCTCTCCGAGAAATTCGCCGGAACCAACCCGGAGAAATTGTTGTACGAGAGGTCGAGTACCCGGAGACTGGGTGAGATTCCGCCGGAGATTCTACCCGACAGGTCGTTACCGGCGAGATTAACGATCTGAAGATTACTAAGAGAGAGAATCCCCGGTGGAACATCGCCGGAAAGGGAATTATTATGAAGGTAAAGAGCACGAATAAGAGAAAGTTCGGTAAAAGAGCGAGGAATAGACCCATGAAAGTGGTTAGAGTGGAGGCTTAACCGCCGCAACTGCCGTAACTTTCCAAGCTCCGGCGAAAGTACGCCGGTGAGCTGAAGCCGTGGAAGGCGGAGCTGATCAACTCTGCTAAAGTAACAGCCGACGCCACGCCAGTCACAAGGGGCTAATGGCGTGGACGCATCCCAGCCGTCTAATACGCCAAGTGGGTCATTTAGATTGCGCTTGAAGGCTAGTAGTGAGTCAACCTCCGTCACTGTAGCACCGGAAAAAATGGTAGCAAAACCAAAGGTAAGAGTGAGGGAGACAAGAAAAATAGCCGTTGCCATAAAAATGAAGCATAAAAGAAAATGGTGGGATGAAAATGCAACGAATGAATTATAGTATTATGGAATTATAGAAGGAGAATAATAATTGATGGTTTTTCATTTCATAGTTGTTGTTATTGTTGATGGTGTTTTTTTGTGGGTTTTGGGGAATGCGAAGTTGGGAAAATGGAGCGTATGTTGCTTTTTAGTAGAGTAGAAGTGGACTGTCAAATTTCTGGCTGTTTTTTTAATCGTACATGTATTTTTTTTTTTATTAACTATTCACTGTTCATTTGTTTATTTCTTCCCAAAAATTATGTAAGAAGCAATAAATAAATAAATAAATTATTAGTATGAGGAATACCGAATACTAGATCAGTAGATGTATGCCATATTGGCATATCAAGGGATACTAAGGATGGAAATTCTTGATTTTTTGTGTTCGTTATTGTATGGATAGGTTTGGCAAAATTGACTCGTATTTTGTTGATTGTTTAGTCCAAATTTGTTTGAAAATTGGGTTTTTGCTTGTATTAATGTTAATGAGACCTAGAAATTAGCTAAAATGGTCCAAAAGTAAGGATGATTAATGTGGAGAATTGATTGAAAGACTTTTTTTTTTTTTTTTTTTTTTTAACAATTGATTGAAAGACTTATTGGTCAAATTTCACTTAAACCAATTTTAAAAACCAACCTAGAATCCTACCCATCTAAGTTCCAAACTACTAGTAATTACTCTTTTAATTTGGCAACAACCTTCTTTAATCTGGAGTATGAGATTGTCAAACAATTTGGTCCTTGTAGCTATTGTGTGGTAGCCGGTAGGTGCTATGACTTGATGAGCTATACATTAGGATTTAGGAGTATTATTAACTCTTTTAAGCGTAGTGATATGGTCTGATACATTTCATTTGGTTACATCTAGGGATTCAAGACATAATTTTTATTTTACAAAAAAAGTAAAAAAAATTGACCATTATGTAATTTAAGAAACATACTTAACAAAAATTAAAATTAGAAAATAAACTTAAAAGTTATACAAACTTCTTATGATTAAGTAAAATGCGTAAAATGTCATCTTAAAGTTAAAAAAAAAAAAAAGGGTTTGGAAACACATTTTGATAAGTTAATTTACCTAGCAAGACACTGAGCATCAACATTCATGGGGCTTCCCATAGTTTCTCTCTCCTCACCTCATTAGTGTACATCACTTTCCACTAACCTTATCACATAACCTTCTCACTTTACAATTCCATACCTATATTCATTAACCTCTTCATTTACTTTCTCTCTCCTATTTTTCCATACTTCACCACCTTTTCTTTCTCCTACTTTCCATACCCCCACCAAGTATTTTGGTATCCAAGTGTGCAAATTGGGTCTACTTGAATTTTTGGGAGGCTTCCCATCAAATTAAACCCTCACCCCCTCCCCCCCCCCCCCCCCCCCCCACCAAAAAAAAAAAAAAAAAAAAAAAAAATTATCAAATGGGAATAGAGTAACATTGGTGGGAAGGTCCCCATTTTCATTTTTTGGCAAATGGGGAGCCTATTTTTCCACCAATGTAGATGTTCTAAGGCCATATTTAGTAAATGACTTTTTGGTTAGCTTTTAGTTTTTCTATGTGGTCAAACAGCCAAAAAAAGTGTTTGGTAATTGGTTTTTCGGTTAGCGAAAAAGCTAGCTTTTAAGCCAAAATGAAAAAGCTGCTATGAGTAGCTTTTTTTGTCGGCTTTTGGCTTATTGACCCACAAATTATCTAATAAACGGTAACCGCCAACAACTAAATTTACCTAACACTTTTATGAACAACCAGCTTAAACAGCCAATTTCAAAAGCTACTCCGTATTATAAACAGCCAAACATTCCAACTGATCGAACAAGCTAAGTGATCCAGCCAACGGTCATTTGCCAAACAAGGCCTAAGGCTACCAACTTATGAAAAGAAATTGTGATTAAGTTGCTTAAGCATCTCTATTAGCTTGATTATAACAAGTTGAAGTCTTTTTCGTTCTATCACATCCCAACATTTCTCCCTATATTATGGCAAAGATATTTGAATTGAATGAGTTCTTTTTTAAAACATACAAAAGCATGTCTGCATTTGAGTGTTATCAGGTCTTTGAATTAATGTAAAAGGTCACCCAATTCTTCAACTGTAAAGCTAATAAATACATATCAATCGAGGCATCTAGCTAACATTAATCTTCAAACTAGCATTAATCTTCAAAATGAGTTAGACCAAAGTTCCCATTATTCAACTCTCTTTTAAATTTATTTAGTTACCTATATAATATATTGATCAATCAAAGTAAATTTTAAAAATTTCGTGCATTAATCAGAATTTGAAGTTATAAATTCCTCTCTAAAAGCTTAAATTTTAGATGCATTAATTTTGAATTTATACATACACTTTAACCTTTTTGTCACAGTCAACCACGAGAAAAAAGAAAGGCAAAGAACATAGAATATAAAACCAACAAGTCGTGACTTGGACATAGTGCAGTTAGTTGAAGCACCATCAAAAACCAACATATCTTCGACATCTACTATAACCCCCCTCCCCAAATTGTACATCAAAATGAATTGGAAAAAAGATGGAATCTTTATTGAAACAAATTAACATGTTAGAAAAACTAATCCTTGATAATCCAATTTATTGGAATCAATAACTAATTGTTGTATATTCCAACAAAATAACGAAACCAATTAATTGAATTAGTGTCAAGAACTCAAGATCGAGTCATATACATTAGAAATTGTGAAATACAAAAAATAAGAACAATTTCATAAATTGCACCTCGTATTATTATCTACACATAGTTATAATACTCCTTCTATTCGTTTTTATTGATTATTATGCTTTGACCACTTTTGTATCTTAAAAAAACTTACACGTAAAATAGGAATGGAGGGAGTATTCTCTATCAACCTCTATCCATTGCAAGAAATTATAACACTCTTTAGAGGTCTTTGTCTTTGATAGTATCACCTGAAAGTTAAGGTATAGGTAGGTGTAGTGAATTGTCAATGGATTATTGGATTAAGCATAATTAATGATGTTAAATTTCTAGGCATTGGAGCATGTTACACTATATGGTGGTCCAAAGAAGGATGCTTTTATGGGAGCATTGTGGGTAAGTTTAGCCAAAAGTGAATCATAAAGTTATTCTATGTAGCTCTTATATAAAAGTTGTTATTTTTCTTTCTTTTTCTTGGATTCTAGCTTAAGAGTAACCAATAGAAAAATGTGTTGCTTTAAGATCTAAGAATTGGAGACCACTTTAGAAAATCCTCAAAGCATATGAAAACTAATGTGAATTATCATTTTGTCAAATTTTTAAGTCATGCTTTAATTTATTTCTTAGGTTTCATCACGTGGAGTACCATGTTTTGTCCATGAATAATTGATTTCAGTTGATAATTAGTTACATAACAAATCTTGGAGATTCAACAGTTCTTTGACAATACTTTTCAAACAATCTCAATCTTGATACATAGAAAATTTAAAGTAGTTACGTTGTAATATATTTAATCGCAAATTTATGATATTATTTCATATGCAATGGACAGTAAAGTTGTGATGGATTGACGATATTTTTCTAGTGATACATCAATGAGTTGATCATGGTGGTTTAATTTGTTATGTAAATTAAAGTACGTCCCAATGACTCATTTATTGTTGTTTAATTTGTTATAGGATTGACTATGTCATGATTTTATTTAGTACTATTTTCCCAATTAATTTTTATTGAATAATGATCTTCAACCTCTTTTAATATAGCTAAAGAATAAAAACCTCTCAAATTCAGCAATTTGTCTCATTAATTGGATCGTATGATGTATGATGGAGCTTATTTTGTTGTTGGGGTATTCATTCTTTGTTAATTTTTTTTTGCTCCAAAGTAATGTAAATAGGGTAGGTGATGGATTATTTATTTATGTTCAATAATGCTTTAGATTTGATTAATAAATCATGATGATTACCCTTGTGGAAATAATAGGGTCTTTATGCACCCAAAAAAAAAAAAAAAGAAAGGAAGTCAGATCATGATGTACAATCCTTAATAGTTGACATGATGAATGTTTCATGAATATGTACTTCGTACTAATTATATTTCGTATATCAGTACGAAGTTTTATGTTAGGCCAACATTATAGCATTCTAAGGTTGTACATTCAATTATTTATCGTGGTGTTTTCATACAAGTACTTTGATCGATAACCATTTTACTATGTAATCCATTTATCCACAAATAAAATTCAAGTACGACATTTTTTTGCTTAGATATGTTAAACTTGTTGATAATTATATACATCAGCATGTACATCTTTCGTCGAGCAACTTTTTAACATATGTTGCTAATATGTTACCATCAATGAACCATGGAGTTTACATTTTCTATCGGCTGCTTCTTTATGAACATGTAATCTTAATAATATTATATGAAATGAGACTCCTGAATGAATAATAACGGTGATGATTTTAATGATGGGTGTAAGAAGCTTAATGATGAAATCAATCTATTTTATTATCAATTATCATTTATCTAAATAATTTCAACTGAACTTTAATCTTTTATCAAGTATTCAGCCGCTTCATAGTATTTAACAATGCAAATGCATATGATTGTTATGTATTGCATCAACTTTTCTACTAGTGTGATTGGATATTATATTTGTATGAATAACATAATTTTTTTTTAAAAGAGATAACCTTTTTTGTACGTTTTACGTTTTTTAGGGCATATGGCCTTGCCCTTAGCTTGGTAGTTGATTAGTTTTCCATAATTTTTTTTTTCATTTATTGTTTATTTATTTGTACTAATCCACAGCCTTCCATCATTAGCCAATGGTGCAAATAATTTTCTAGAAATGAGCTTAATTAAGAAAAATGATCATCTAAACTACTAACATCAATGTTGTCTTGAAACAAGCACCAAAAGAATTGAAATTGACAAATTAAAGCACATTTTTTTTTAAATCGACAAATCAAAGAACATAGATCTAACTTTAACTTAATAACTTATAAATTTCTAAAGGATAATATTAGGAACTTGATTATGATATCTATATAGATTTTGAAATGCTTTTTTCTACCATTATTGGATCGGCTCGGCCTCTATAAACTTTGACATGCTTTGAACATCATTGATGCGCTTATTAACTTGATTTTCATTTATATATCTGAACATAATTAACTTAATTAATTTAGTACTCCATAACCCTTGAACTAATCTTATTAAACCTTATTTTTCTTAAAATTAAGTAAAAATAATTAATGAGACCTAATTAAGTCTCAACTTTAATCATGTACGCATTTTGTATTGTGTTAGGATCTTACGTTAAACTATAAACAAATGATCTCAACAGCTAAAACCACATTGATTGTAAATAAAAATTTACTGGGATCTAAAAAAAAAAGTAGCCCTATTCTATTGCCCATTATCTGAACCCTCTCATCTAATTGTAGAGGGAGAATTGCGTGATTGGCAAGTTACAAAAAAATCCTTAATATTCCCTATTGCTTGTGCACAAGGGAATTGAATAATATACATACGAAATGGTTGTAGATTATTATTATGGTAGTACATGTATGTATTTATTTTTGGATGATATTAAAAGAAATCATGACTTTTTCAACTTGACCATATTTAAGAGAAGGCATATATATATGTAGCTTAAATGTGAGATGTAATAATGTTAGCATATAAAGATATACCACATCAATAACTTCTGCACTACATATATGAATGTATATGGCTGCGTTCGTTAGTTCATCACGTACATGGTGTGCACATTTACTATACATGCATGTACGTCGCCGTCTTTGATCCTGTAGTTTTTTTTTTATAGTAGCAAAATACTTATTGCTGGTTTGGACGACGATATCCTATGTTGTTGGAAACTAGAACAGAAGGTAAAATTAACAGCTATTAATAATATTCTTAATAATAGTTATTCATTAATGTTTTGGTTGTCTAGCTATTGTATAATTTTTTGAATATGTTAGCACACATTGTTTGCATAAAGTGCTACATTATAAATAGCTGTTACGAAATTTACCTGAATAATGAGGAGAATCATAGTCAAAGATAGAGTAACATAGTCCGTATCACAAGATATCATCGGAAACTCGAGGAGATTATATCATGTAAAAACAACGTCGCATATGGATATGGGAAGAGTCAAAATTAAGACCTCTAATCTCTCTCAAAAAGTCAAAATTTACTATTATGCAACAACTTGGTCAACATCAAGGCCTATTTGCCTTTGTGAGGAAGATCATATCAAGAATTATGATTCTTAATAATATTCACCGCGTTTTCTGTGTGGCTAGCTGACACACACTATAATACTAAACGGGTAATTCCTAATCAAGTAATTCCTGACCGACTGAGTAACCATTGACTAACCGAGTAACCCCTAATCAAGTAACCCTCGACGGAGTAACCGTTGACTGACCGAATAATCCTAAATAAGAAACTCCAACCACACGATGTGGCCAGTTACATATGAAACTTTGTGCTTAATATTATCTTCTAGTATATAAACTTGCATTGCCATCTGGTCCAATATCCCCAAATAAATCACCATAATACATACCAAAATATACTCATAATAAACTTCCAAAAAATTGATGAATTATTAAACAAGAAACCGAGATAATGTATGTAATTACGGAATATCAAGATACTGCATGATGAACAATAAAAGCAGCTTCCATATTTAAGCCAAAAAATACAATAAAATAAGAATGTGGCTTGTACGAAATATTATACTCGTAAGAAAAATGATGTATATATTCCTCTCTTTAGGCTACATAAAAGCAGCTTTCATATTTAAGTAAAAAATATTACATTGAGTCATTGATGTATGTGTGGTTTTATCATACTCTGTACATTTTTTAAATTAATTCCAATTTAGAAATAATAATTAAGTGTTACATATATCATTAATTACTCTATATATAGACTAGTCCGTAGTTGTATAAGTATTAACCAAAACTAAAACCCTAATCTTTCCACCCAACAAACATGTCATCATCAACCATGTCCGATTCTCAAAACTCAGAGTCAAAAATTGTTAAAGATGATGAAAAGCAGCCGGAAGATCCAAAAACTCAAAAGAAAAAGTTCTTTTGATGCCCTGCTAGATATAAAATTAAGCGAGGACGACAACGATAACGATGACAATCTTGACGACGACGAGACGGACTGCGGGCTTTGCTTGTTAATCAAAGCAGGCGGGTGCAAGAAAGAAGCGACTCCTTATTTCAATTGTATAAAAGCGGCCAAAAGTGAGGAAGATGTAGAAAAGTGCATGGAGTTTGAAGAGAATTTGTGCAATTGCATGCTAACTAAACCAGCTTATTACGTACCTCTTGTTAAAGCACTCCATGCTATGGCAATGCGTAATATTTGAAATTTTTAAGTAGTCTTATTTACCTGAAGTAATACTCCTTTCGTCACTTTTTTTTTTTTATTTTTACACGTGAAATCTTTTTGTGAGAGAAAAATTGACAAAATATTAAAAAATCATGAAGAAGTGATCAAGGAATATTCTTTTTTTTTTATTATTATTATTATTTTTTATTTTCTTTTAACTAATAATGAGATCCTTTGTTTTATTTTTAATTTAAGTAGAGGTTAATTCGGACAGAATTCTTAGCCCCGTTTGGTATGCTTATTTGAACGACGGAGTCATATTAAAACATTATTTGTCTAAATAATATTTATGAATTTCTTTTCTTGTCTTTGATAAGTTATTATTAATTCCAATTATATTGGCACACTTTCATGTCAGAAGAACATAAACCGTTGCTAGAAGTTTGAAACTAAATTTATTATATGAATTTAGTGTGATACTGTGATGTATTATTCTATTAGTATTATTTTTTGCATAATTAGAGTCAAGTATTAATTAATTGTTTTACAGTACCATAAATTATTAACTTCAACAAACTATTACTTGTACGATAAAATTTATGATCAATGATATTATATTGTTAATACAGTAAACCATAGATGTACAACACGTAATTAACTCGAAATCCTGGTCATAGGCCAGAATATGAATTGCTTGGTCTAATGCAAAGTCTACAATACAATTAGAGAAGATTACTTGGTCTAATCACTCCCTTTGTTTCATTACGAGTATTTCGACTTTCACGCTAATCAATGCACGATTTTAACATATATATGAAGCTAAGCTTGTCATATACTTTGACTAGCCTTAGACATAACTCACCAAAGCCCACATGAGTTGTAGTCTCAGCACTCAGGTGGCCTTATAAATACAGGCATGTTGTTGGCAAGAGTTGTACAGTTGTATGAACCAAGCTGCTTCAAAACACATGTATGTAAATTGTGTAGCCCAAGCCCATTTGATTGGCACAATGCAACCAAGTTGGTTCTGTGCATTTGCAGCACTTGTCGCCAATTGTCGGCCCAGAAATACTGTAAGGTGCAGCTCTTAATAATCCACGCATCATTCAATAGGTTATGGTCCACTTGGTTTATTTTACCATAGCTCAGAGTCTCAGACCAAGTACCCACCAAGTGTTCCTCATTTAACTATCTTGCTTAGTTGTATTGAGTGGGTAGCTAGATTTGTACGCAGTTTAGTAATTAGTATATGAAATAGAGAGTATTAAACAAGGGCAATTTGTTTATTAGGATGGATAAAAATGGGGCAATTTTTAGGACTAGGGATTGAGACGATTTTTTTTAGGTATGTGTTCAATCCTTTTTTTTTTTTTCAAAGAGTCGAATAGATTTAAATAAAGTGACAAATGTACATATATTGTAGGTAAAATAGGTAAGGTTATAAGCTTGTCACGATCTTATAAAACAAAAGTATTATGATTTAAAAAAAAAAAAAAAAAAATCGGAGGTAATATTTGACTATAGGTGCATGCCAATAATTTGTTTTGAATCAATGTTGCATTATCATTTAGAAAAGGACAACTTATGATTTTATGAGGGCAGGACAAGGTGCTACCAAAGCAATTATGAGGACAACAAAGGTACTGCTTATTTATTTATGTACTCAGCTGCAGCTTTCTGGTAACAGTTTTGTTGCTTTCAAAACATATACTCGTACTATACTATGGGCTATTAAATTTCCCACCAAATTCTCAAAAAATAGGCACATTTTTAGAATTTAAAGCTGCCCTGTTTTTTTTTTTTTTTTTAACACCAAACAATCAGATTATATTAAGAAGAAATGGCCTCTAAGTCAGACTATGATTATCACTAGGATACTCTTCAAGCCGTACTCTCACATTCTCAAAGTTCCTGTTTAGTTTAGCAAAAGAGTGGGCTACATTTATTTCCCCCTCTTTTAAAAAAAGTAAAGGAAACAAAGGCACACAGAGCAGCCATACTACGGATATCTTTCCGTATATGCCCGAATTCAGATGGATGACACACTCCCTGCTTCAAGTGACTATGGAGCTTACTATTATCAGTTTCAAGAATGAAGTTCCGAAAGCCTGCATCATATGAGATCATGAGGGAATGTCAGCATCGCAAGAGCTTCACCAACCTCAACTGTCATCACTAGACCAAGCTGCACACACGTTGCAACATCACCAGTAGCATCTCTAGTAACCCCTCAAAACCCATTCTCTCATTCTTAAAAAAAAAAAAAAAAAAAAGCAACATCAGAATTAATTTTATTCACGCCTTCAGGGGGAGTGTGCTGCCAAAATAACAAAGAAGACTTCGATAAATTTACAGACAAATATTCTAACTAAACAATAAATTAGTAGGAAACAAAAAACAGGCAAAATTTCCACTCATTCTAGACTTAGCTATTATGCCTTTTTAGAAGAGCTATTATGCCTTTTTAGAAGATAATTATCAATTAATAATTCACTTTGGGGCCTACTATTGATTTGAATTTGAATTGAAGTTGATATAAAGTTTTGATTTGAATCCAATGAATATTATCTTGCTTGTGAATGCAAACATTGACTTTAAAAAAAGGAGCATTGCAACCCCGGCAAATGAACACAAAAGTCTTGCGCATGCTACAATGACTCAATGAATTAACAACTGGAATCTGTTGCAGCGCAAACACGGGTTTTTCAAATCGAACCCGGATTCTACACTAAAATGAGCCGAACTAAACTACTAGAATTCAAGGCACAACCTAACAAACAAATCAATAGCACCAATACATTGTGTTAAAACAGAAAAAAAATTAACATGTTTAAGAAAACTAAACTGGTTGACAGCAGCCAGCAGGGTGTCTACTCTCTTACAGTCTTACCCAGCTGGGGAAGGGAGACGAGTCGGATCTGCTGAGGAAGGGATATCAGGCCCCACCCGACAACCCTCAAGCATAAAGACGATATCTCCCATTAACGGTCTATCACTTGGGTCGACTGCAGTGCAGAGGAGACCAATTTTGATACCAAGTAAAAACTCCTCCCACTCGGATGATTCCGGGTCAAGTTCGAGATAACCCAGGGCTAGTAACTCGGAAATTTGACCCTTTTGCAGCTGTTTCTTGACCCATTTCACAATATCCTCATCCTGCTCAAACATAATTGGCTTTTTCCCAGTCAATATTTCTAACAAAACAATCCCAAAACTATACACATCCCCTTCTTTGGTAACTTGACCTGTTGACATTACTTCCGGGGCTACATAACCAAGTGTTCCAATTGATGGAGTTGATGTCGAGGCTTCAATTGGTGTTGCAAATGTCAGCCTGTCTAGTCCAAATTCTGACAAATGTGCTTCGAAATCAGCATCAAATAGCACGTTCTGAGGCTTGATATCCCCATGAACCATTTCTGAGGTGTGCAAAAATGTGATCCCTCGAGCAATCCCAAGGGCAATCAAATGCCTCATCGGCCAATTTAGAACATGCCCATCATGGTGTGATGCTTCTTGAAGAAGAGTAGCCAAGTTACCATTAGGCATGTAGTCGTAAACTAGGAGTCTTATATCTGGTGGACCTGCATAATACCCCCTTAAAACAGTGAGGTTCCTGTGCTTCACTTTCCCGAGCATCTCAGCCTCCTTCTTGAAGACTCGATTTTCAAGGAGTCCATCAGGTAATCTTCGGATAGCCAGGACCATTCCGTCATTAAATGAGGCCTTGAATACCATCCCATACTTTCCTCTGCTTAGAACATTTTCCTCATCAAATTGCCTTGTTGCCTCTAAGGCTTCAGGCAATGTTATCTTGTTATTGAACATGACTAGCTTTGGGACACCACTTTCACTGCTGCTTCTACTTTTAGAGCTTCTTCTCGGTGTGCTAGGTTTCTTCTCTCCCCAGGTTGCCTTTTCTTTGAGCTTCTTGCGCCAACGAAGGAGGCTTATAACGTAGCCACAACAACATAGTGTTAGGACGAGAACCCCAGCTAGAGCTACAGCAATAAGCAATATCGACCTTTTTTTCTTTCCCACAGATGGACACGCATTCTTCAATGGAGACCCACATAGGTTGCTGTTGTTTGCAAATAATGAGGGATCATTGAAGTGAGTACCTAGGGTTTTCGGGATTTCTCCTTCAAGATGATTAGAAGACAAATTTAAATATAGCAAGGTGGGAATATGGGTGATATTTTCTGGAATGGAGCCACTCAAATTGTTTGATGAGAGGTCCAGCGTTCTAAGGTGTAGCAAATTTGATAATGAACTTGGTATGGAACCTGATAAATGATTCGAATCCAAGGCCAAATACTGCAAATTAGAGGAATTGAAAATCTCATCCTGAATACTACCATTCAAATTATTATGACCCAAATTAAGTACCTTCAACTGAGATAACCTTGACAAAGAATTCGGAATATTGCCCGCTAAATGATTCCAGGCAAGTTCAAGCACTTCTAACTCTGAACAATTGCCAAGCTGTGGTGGAATGTTCCCTGATAATCGATTCTCCGATAGAGAAAGGACATCCAAGGACCGGAGGAAGCCAAAAGTTGCCGGAATATCACCAGAGAGTGAATTAGAGCTAAGATTCAAGTATCTCAAACCAGCCAAACTACTAAATCCCTCAATACTATTCCCCTGTAAACTATTCTCCTGTAATGCAACAACCTCCAAATTAGGCAGCCCAAATAACTCAGCAGGCAAATTCTCAGAAATATTCTGCTTGCTCAAATCTAAAACTCTTAGCATCATCAAACTCCCAATGCTAGCCGGAATCGGACCCGAAAACCCACAATGACTCATATTCAAGACCATTAAATTCTTCATATCCCCAATTCTCACAGGAATCTGCCCAGAAAATTTATTAAAACTAAGGTTCAAAGAAGTCAAATTACTGAGTTGAAGCACTTCATCTGGGACCACTCCAGTCAACTCATTTTCACTCAAATTCAATACTTCCAAACTCTGAATGCTACCCACATCAATATCAATTGAACCCACAAATCTGTTCCTCCCTAATGACAAAACCCTCAATTTATTCAAATTTTCGAAAACCCGAGGAATTTTCCCAGAAAATTGATTTCCTTCAAGATCAAGAACCCTCAACACCCTACATTGTCCTAATTGACCAGGAATTTGGCCAGTTAGAGAATTATTAGCCACTCTAAGCTCCTCTAATCTCGTCAAATTCCCAAAGTTCGCGATAAGTGAACCCGTGAAGAGGTTTCCAGAAAGATCTAAAATCCTCAACGTTGGGATATCCGCCACCCAACTCGGAAACTCGCCAACAATGCGATTCCCGTGAACATCTAGAATCTCCAAACTACCCTTAAAAGTACAGCCTAAACCCGGCTTTGCGACACCTGTGAGCGCATTGTTGCTCAGAAAAACAAATCGAAGCGACCTAGGGCTTGATACATTACAGAACACAGAGGCAGGGACCATACCAGAGAGATTATTAGAGGAGAGAGAAAGTACCTCCAGCAACGGCATTGCTCCAATCGTCGCCGGAACATTGCCGGAGATGAAATTGTTCTCTGCCGAGATATGAACAAGCGAGGTACAGCTGAGGATCGCCGAAGGCAGCGTTCCCACGAGAAGATTCGAGACGAGCCACAAGTACTGCAGCCACTGAAGCCCACCAATGCTCGCCGGAATCTCACCGGAAAACCTATTTGACGACAGATTGATCAGCCTGAGCTGCGACCCCTTTGAGAAATTCCCCGGGATTTGTCCGGAGAATCCGTTGTAAGAAAGGTCCAGCACTCGGACACTATCAGAAATTCCGCCGGGGATTCTGCCCGACAGGTTGTTACCGGAGAGATTAACAACCTGAATATTCTTCATCTCGAGAATCCCCGGCGGAACATCTCCGGAAAGGGTATTATTATGAAGGTAAAGAGCACGAAGCAGAGGCAAAGACGAAAGCGAACCGGGAATCGACCCATGAAAATTATTAGAGTGCAGGCTCAACCCCTGCAACTGCTTTAAATTCCCAAGCTCCGGCGATATTTCGCCGGAGAGCTGAAGCCGTGGAAGACGGAGGTCCTGAACTTTGCTAAAAGAACAGGTAACACCACGCCAGTCACAGGGAGCAAGTGACGTGGACGCATCCCAGCCGTCTAAAGCGCCAAGTGGGTCATTGAGATTGTTCTTAAAGGCTAGCAGTGAGTCAACCTCCGTCACCGGAGCCGAAACGGCGGAGGAAATGAAGGTGGTGAACAAGAGGAAGACAAGAAAAATAGCCGTTGCCATTAAAAAAGTGGGGAAGAAGAAAGTGGGAATAATAAAAATTAGATATAAGAAGGAAGAAGAAGAAGATTGAAGATGTTCATAGTTTATTTGTTTTTGTTTATGTTTTGGAGAACGCAATTAAGGGCAAGACTTCAGACGTTTAGAGTGGAGTAGTGGAGTGTCAAGTGTGAAGTGTGGTTTTTTATTTGGTAAAGAAATCAAGTATGTGCAGTAGCGTAGACGGACTGTCGCAATCTATTTCCCAATAATGTTCCGTATGATTCATTATTATTATACCGTTGTTATACGGAGTACTTTGTACGTAGTATCAATTATTTTACTCCGTATCTATAGAATCAAACAAGTTTTAGTGTGGTTGGTTCGGATTTATCTATTGTGAGGTTACAAAATCAAATTTTGCTGTTTTGATTAGGAGCGGGTTCAATGAGCAGTTTTGCCTTCAAGCCGCTAATTTGAAAACATTGCTTTGAGCTGCGTATTGAAAGAGAGGGTAGCTGATTTGGACTTTATCATATTGCAAAGATAATTGCTAGCCATATCGTGTGGCCATTTAACACACGAGTAACCCTTGATCGATCGAGTAATCCCTGATCAAATCACTCTTGACCGAGTAACCCTTGACCGACTGAGTAACCCGTGACCAAGTAACCCTTGACTAACCGAGTAACCCTTGACCAACCGAGCAACCTCTAACTGGTCGAGTAACCTCTGGCCAACCGAGTAACCCATGACTGGCCGACTAATCTCTGACTGACCGAGTAACCCCGACCATTCTTTTAAAAAAAAGAAATATGGTTGGGCACCTAGGTTGCACAAGGGTACGAAACGGATATGGAAAAACGTATATATCAAAATAAGGGACATGGGTACGGGGTGTAAAATTCATATAATATATATTTTTTTTAAAAGAATTTAATTTGTCTTTCCGTCATCTCATTAGATCACAATCAGCTATATAGGAAGAGATCCATATTATTTAACAATTGCTTTTTATCTTACTTTACTTAAATTTTCTCATTAAAAAAATTAAACAACCCATATCATAGTAGGATTCGGTCCGAGACGTATCGTCGTGTGTCCCACGAATGTCAGTGTCTGACACGGTGTCCGATATGAACACGATAGTTAGATGAAATGTCCATATATCCTAGCTGACCACACAATGTGGCCAGCTACTTGTTTGAAATTTTGTGATCTTTAAAATCTCCCGTTCTATAACGAAAAAAATACTGAGTAAAGTGAATCATTAATTCATTATCCATCATAGAGAAATAAATACGGATTTTTCACCATATATCCCTAATTTTTTTGTTTATTCATCATATACCCCTGAAAATTTTCAAATTCACCATATACCCCTAAGTTGTTACAAAAATTCACCATATACCCCTAATAACAGTAAGATGAGTGGAATTTGGTTAATTATGCATCGAAACCACCTTAGATCTCTCCCCCATCCCCATTGATTTTGGGGATGAGAAAAGAAAATTTGGGGTATTTTTTGGAATGGGAAAAAGGAATATAGGATGTTTAGGGGGTAAGGGAATGTATTTAGAGTGGTTTTGGGTCATAATTAACCCTAACGACTGACGAATTTAACAATCATTAGACATTTTGTGAAAACTTGAGGGTATATGATGAATTTAAAAAAGTTCAGGGGTATATGATGAATAAACAACAAACTTAAGGGTATATGGTGAAAAATCCGAATAAATAATGATACGGCGGTCGCTTCCAGGATGCAAACTCGGCTTCATTGCTCCAAGAGTAAGTACTAATTACTTTTTATAAATTAGGGTTTCTTCCCTAACTAACCCTAATGCATTCTTTATATCCAATTTATTATTATGAAATCCACCGTGGTGAATTTCTTCACTTCATATTCAATCAATTGATAATCAATGTCATTGGCTTAATTAGAGTTGACGATGAACAAATAATTCTCCAATTTAACTATACAGTTTTCGCATCAGTAGCTACCCCTGTCAAAGGTTTGTCTTAAGCTTTACTACGTGATTTTATAACCTTTTTTAATAGCTTTTGAATAAAAAAATTACTGGTTGATTTTAATTTGAAATCAACTAATTATAATCTATGTATTTGGATTCCCCAATTAATTTTTGTTTGATTTTATTAAATTTGTTTTTCATTATTGTTAATGTTAATTATACATGTCGTATGATTTTAATTAATTAAGAAAATATATTGTCATTTAAAACTTCTTTTTTAATATATATATATAAAAAGCCTAATTATTTTCAAGGATCATGATATGTTGCTAATGTAGCCTAATAATTTTTTATTTTATTTTTTGAAAGTAGTATACGATATGGAGTACGTACCTGGTTTATATACTTTTTACGTCTCAAATTTATTGACACATTTGAAATAGGCACGCAAATTAAGCAGTGAGGAGATGAAAAATCAATGGTGAGCCGTGAGCTCTATAGTGTGATCCTTTTAACTTATTATCTAAAGGGTTTAGGGCTATCTATTTCATTACTTCTTGTTTGATTTATTTGAGATTAAGGTTCTGATATATATTGTTGTTTTTTCCTATTTTTATCTTTGATTGTTATCTTATAGAGGATGAAGCGAAGGCTAATGAAGGATGATTCTACAAAGATAGATTACTTGAGTAATCTACATGACACAATTTTATGTCATATTTTATCTTTCCTTCCAAGAAAGTTTGCTATGTTATTGTCACGAAGATGGAAGTATCTATGGACCCAAGTCCCTGCACTTGATTTTACTGATATGATAACGCGTAATGTAGATGATATGAGTGAAGAGGAGTATACTAATTGCATGAATTTTATGAGTAAAATTCTACTTGAAAATAATGTATCATATCTACGACATTTTTGTTGCTTCTTCAATTTCCACCTAAACCCCAACTCGGAATCATGGATGGATGCTATCAAATGGCGCAACATCTGTGAGCTCGATATGAACTTGTGTGGAGGTGATCCTGTGTTTTTGCCTAGAGAATTTCTTTATGGACAAACACTCAAGGTTTTAAAACTCGGCAACTTTTATCTTGAGGACACACAAAATCCTTTTTATCTATCCGATCTTGTGGATAGTGTGGGGTTTCCAGGAGATCAATTTCTCAAGAGGTTACTTGTAGGTTGCCCTGTACTTAAAGAGCTTGTTGTTCGAGAGGGTTGTGGTTTCGACGACACTATTTACATCGAGTCTTTGACCCTGAAGTCGTTAGAAATAATACAGGCTATTCTACATGTGGAGCAGGTGATTTATGCATTAGTGTTAAAGCACCAAACCTTAAGGTGCATTACAATCTTTCAAAGAATACAGACATTTTGTGACTTTGATGATGTAACGTTGCTAAGTAAGGCAAAGTTTTGTCAAGATGGTTGTTTTCCAGTTGTGACAACTCAACAATCAGCAAAACTTAAGGTAATGTCATCCATCCTCTTGCACTGCTTTGGCAAATTTTACTTGATCGACTTTTCGAGTTGCTTATCATAGACTATAGTTGTGTGATTAACAAAATTGTTTATTTTCTTGTAGAATAAGCTACCAATCTTACAGAACTTGACCCATTTAGAGCTTGAGCTCGAAAATTGGTACGAGTTACTAAAATGTGCTCCTAAGTTGAAGTCATTATGTTTTAGGGAGGTAATGAAGCTCATTATTGTTCTATTCTTCTCCTTCTTCTTAAAATTTAGTGTTTAATTTGATAGTTTTTGAGATATCAAATTGGTAGCTTATATTTGGAAAGCTGCAACAACCTTGAAGGAGATGATAATTAAGTTGAATTATATGATGAGCTCAGAACAAGAGAAAGCTGTTTATCAAATATTATTGAATCTTCCAAGATCCTCTCTAATTTGCCAAGTCAAGGTTAAATATTCAGACGACGATGATCCGTAGTCTAGTACAAATTGATTTATTGATCATACGTTCTCTCTGTAGTCTAGTACAAATTGATTTATTGATGAGAATTTGATCGTTATTTTGTCAAATATCGGTTGTTCGTATACAATCATATCATCTAGATTAATGTAGTAGAATTAGAAGTGCTAGCTAGAGATATATTCAAGCAGAAAATACCAGTTTATCAATATGATAAACATAATTTGTTTATCAAATGTCAAAATTGTAAATAAATAGAAAACTTTTTATTAAATATGGGTCCCACTGTTGTTGATATATTTACGAAAATGACATGCTAACTGGACATTTATGTTGTTTTATTTACCATTTTGTCATTTAATTATCAAATTGATTAAGTGGAGTTTCCTCATATTCCAAGGCAAATTTCTTATTTCGGGGCTTCATCAGCTCGTGACAGTAATTGAGAACCTAGAGGACCACTGGACCAATTTCATACTTTCATCAGCCTCTATTATGGATTTTAGAATTGCATGCAAAAAAGTTTAGTATTTTAACTTGACCATTAAACATTAACTTAAAATTATTGAATTTATTATAAGCTTTTGCACACCATACTTTGACTAAACATTTTGCTTTATTTTAATTTAGGGTAAAGGTGATGTCAAATGTAGTAAAGATTTATTAGCCAGGTGACATAATAGAGCATCTGTTCTCAATAATCTTATAGATTATTTTAACAAGTCCTTAATTATGTACGTAGTACTTCACGGGAAAAAACTTGTAACTCACTTTATGTTGAACATAACGATGTTAAATTTAACATAGCGACTGGCAAGGACGAAATAATAACAAAACCATGAATCGGTAAATGAAGGGAGATGCAAGAGACAGAGATGAAGATGGTGGGAAAATAAGGGAGAAATTTTGAAAATCACTTTATAAAAGAGAGTGAGTTACAGCGTGAAAAGCAGAAACCAGCCATAAAACAAAGTCAATGTACGGAATCTTGACTTTTTCACCGGAAAAGTGACACAAGATGCTGTTTTTTATATTTTTGTTAAATCAAGGTACTATTTGACAAAAAAAATTCAATACACAAACTTGACAAAAAACAAGGTAGTTTTTGACAATTTTCCCTTGTTGGTATGATGGATGATATCAATGGTGGCCTCGTGGTTGACTACTTGGTGACCTTGTACTTCTGGAAAATAGGAAAAAAATCAAGTTAAAACCCCAATGATTTAAATGAGTGCGTAAATTATACAAAAGTAACAAAGATGTACAAACCTTGATCTTCTTTAATAGATTTCGGGCATATTCATTGTTGACAAAATGATCTCGGACAGGCTGATAGAAATATGAATGAAGATGTTTAAAACTCTATTGTACTTAACCAATTAAAACAAATGGATTTCTGCAAGATCAAAAATATACCTGCAGAATTTTGTTCAGTGACTTTGTTAATGCAGATTTCAAGTCCTTAGGGTGCAATGCCTCTGCTTCATAATCAGCAACTATTTCTTCAAAGGTAAGGTATGTTCTAATATAGACAGTAGAATGGCAAAGGTAAGTCAAATATAAGAATAGCAAAGTATTTCATAATCAAGACCCAGTAATGGTGCAGGGCTTACTTAGGTCCACCATATGCAGCTTCGCGGTCAATAGTAAATTCCTTGAACCATGGCAATACAATGTATTTCACATATTCTAAACATGGATTTTTCTCAACTATCTTTGGTGGACAGTAAGCTTTCTTAATCTTCAAATTAACATCAGCCTAAGAAATACAGACAAAAATACAATGCTGATCAATAAAAAGTGCTTTTCTTTTGACTATTTATCAGTCAATTTACAGATCAAAGATCTCTCTAGTATCATACCTCCGAATCATCCATAAAAATCGCAGATGACGCATCAGACTTTGACATCTTTTCTTGCCCTTGGAGCAAGCCTGGAAGCATATCTGTGAGCCACCATCAAACAAACTAAAATAAGTCATCAGCGCAACCAATTTATGATCATATTTGATACAACCTAGCTGACATAACTTAAAAGAATACAAAGCAGAAATGCATACGGTGTGATAAAATGATAGGCTTATGCTTTCTTTTGATATCATCACAGTACTCCCGAGCAAGCACATTGACCTTGCGCTGGTCCATGCCGAGCTGGCAGATGTCCGCCTATTTACAAAATTGTATTTAAATATCACAGTAAAAAAAATAGTTTTCCATATAAAGCAATGAACAAAAGGAATGTTAAGAAGGGCAATTCTTATCATAATAACAAAACAAATATAGAAAAATAGGTAAATAATTGTCAACATGAATTTAACATTTTAACTACATGCAAAAGACAGGGAAAGAACTCAACTATCACAAAAATAACAAACAATTCAACTCTTAATTACAAAGCCTGGTGCCAAGACAAATTACAGGTGCAGAGTTACTAAAGTTGTACTCATTATGCCAACAACATATCAGCCAGCTATAACGCAAACACGGCCTAAACAAAAATAGTTGACAAGGATGTCAGCGGAAAGAAAGAGCATAAACCAAGCAACAGGCCACCAGGTTATAAAATGGTCACTGCATAAGCTAAACATATGACAAAGAGGTTCATTGTTAATAATATTGCAAAATAACATCTATTGAGCACCCTGAATTTGAAAAGAGCAATGAAGGAAAGCGAATCTTGTAGCATATACGAGTATGATCAACTCAGACAAGCATCATCTTCACATGATCACAATTTCTCAAAACATACGCTTATTATCCTACCTTGTATTTGAGTGTTAGTGTGTGCACAAGTTCTTTTAACTCCACTCCCTATAGTGGACTTTAAGGCAGAATATATATGGTACAATTTCAAGAGCTTTGTACATATTACATTAACTTAGCTCCAATTAATATCCTACTTAACAGTACAACTGAAAAAAGTGAGTGAATACTCTTAACAACATAATATAGTGTACCTTCAGGAAAAAGATATCAGCGCATTGCATGCATGGATAAAATATCTGAGCGCCAGTTAAATCTTCTGGGTCTTCACGACCCATAATTTGACAGCACCTACAAGCAAAAGTTGCATGGTCCATCCATAAGCTTAATTACGAGAATGAACTTGATAAAAACTAAATCTTATGGAAACCCCAATCACCTCTGGAGCCTTGGCAGCTTGTTCTTGGCAGCTATATCCATCACAAGAGGCCAGTACTCGTGTGCACGTTCATTGATTTCTTTGGAGGCCCACAAAAACTCAACCTTTCCTGAATCAATATCCATTCCAGCAGCCTTCCAGACTTCAATGAAATAGTTCCCAACATCTTGTATTTTCTTAATATCACCACCCATTTTATTATTAAGTTGGGCAAACCAGTCTGCAATCCACATTCTTACTCTACAACCGGCAGATAATAACTTGTTCACGTTTATTATCTTCATAGCCCCTGGACATAACAATGGTAACAAGACCAGAAATCCAACATTAGCATAATTCACAATCACAAACCTTGATAGCTCACTAGCCCAACTATAAAGGTAAGGTTAGAAAACACTACAGGCCGGTCACACAATATTACATCAAGTGAATGTGTAGATTGAACATAATGAACAACACCAATACTAAACACAACACACAAGGCCAGTAAATGAACAAAACCCTCGGTAATCACATCATTACTGCAGGGGATGGAACCAATTTTCATGTACCCTCCCAACCTAAAGTAGGACCTCCCAGACCAATGTTCACACCTTCCAGGCAGATTGTGGAGCACCCTCACTACTCAGACCGGCCAGAGCAGAAGGAGCAAACCTCCCATGATTATCGGCCAGATGATGTTATCCTGCTTTGAAACTGGAGGCCACAATCTCACACCTCTCTCTAAAACATCATTTTAACTATAGCTGTTTAGCATCATCGGAGGGGTTCCCTCGACTATAACCTCTGAGGTAGCCAACATTTGTTGCCAGGGACAGGGATCAACCTCGACAAGCACCTCCATATTCTATACTGGAACAATTACTAACAACTAGCTTGTTCGCGTGTATTGTAAAGAATGCCTATGTTAATCAACTAGGTAAATTTTTTAGACCTTGTAACTAAACTCTTAGAGATTTCAACTCAAAAATACAACTCCAACTTAACTAACGTCCCCTTGCAAATTATAATTCGATAGCTTGCCATTGTTATTTTGAAATGTTATTATCAATCTATCAAATTGGCAGCATAAGACAGCACAACCACTCTATGTATTAAATGTAGTCTATGTTATTCTTACTCCTCATTTCACCCCTTATGTACCCGTGTTACATCCTCGACACTCCAACACTAGTCTTAACACTTGAACACGTACCTGTACCCGTACCCACATCCGATATAAATCACCATTCATATAACATAAACTAATCCATTTAAACCCCACCCCAACACATACACAGTAATTCCCAGCTACAAAACAAAATAAAAACACTAAATTTGGAAAACAAAACAATAAAATTAGAATCAAACCTGGGCAATATGCATATGACCAGAAGGTTCAAACCCATCATAGCAAATAGGCTCAGGTTTCTTCGAAAGCAGCAACATCAGCTCAGATTCTTGAATACATTCTTCCCCAACACTCTTAATGATCTCAAATCGTTCCTCCAATGTCATCCTATTTCATCCAAATCAAGAAAACCCCATTAAAATGAATTCAAATGAAGAGAGAGAAGATGAAGCAAAAGTACAGTGGTTTACCCGGTGGCAGAGGATGGTTCTGCGGCGGCGGTGGTAATGGAGAGAGAGTCGAGCTTCTCCTCCGGCGGACATGGTTGCTCCTGAGCTTTGTCGACCTCCATTGAAGTTGGTGAGTGAAGCGAGGAGAGAGAAAGATGAATTAGGGTTGTCGAAATTCAGAAGTTTTACTTGTTTAATTGTATTTTTTTGGGGAAAAATTGGGGAAATTAAGGGATTATTTATATATGAGGATTAGAAGAGATCTTGATCGTTCGTTTTTTAATCGATGGTTGTCATCAGATGGGATTTTTTATGTGAAAGTAAGATGTAAAAAAAGTCAAATTGGTACTAAGATTTTTAGTTAGGAGGAAAAAAAAACACAATTAGGGATAATCTAATAATGAAGGATGGTTTATATTATATTTGATGATATACGGAAAGATAGTTTATATTTTGATACCTGTTCTTTTTCTTATGTTAAGCGTAATTGTAATACTGTTGCCCATATTGCTGCAAGAAGGGACACTGGTTGTAATGTGGAACATGTTACTTTGAGTTCCTTTCCCCAAAGCTTCACCACTTGACGGAATTGGAAATAACTTAATAACACAGGCAACTATATTTCCATCAAAAAAAAATGAAGGATGGTTCTCTCCAAAATAAATAAATAAATAAATAATGAAGGATGGAGGTCTTAGAAACAGCTCATATCTATTTAACTTCATGGTCATAATTATGAATTGAGCACTATGTTCATTTTGTTCTTATAAATGTTCATTTTTTACGATGAAATGCGACTAATAAAAATTTGAATAAGAGCCTTAACAACCTTCCAAAAGTTGAATAGAAAATTTGGGATAAATCAGAATTTGATTGATGGTTATTCAATAATTATTATTGTTCAAATTTATTTAACTTAACATTGATAATTTTGAATTTTTTATTAACCCTTGTGTTTATTATGTTTTGTATAATGTTCATTTTTGGCACATAGATGAACATGCACAACCTTCTAAACAACCTATCCCTTTTTACTCTTTGAATTTTTTATTGATCCAATTTACTCCTCAATTTTGTTTAACTTCCTAAGCTTAATATTGTCTTGTTTTCATGAACCTTTTATGGCTTTCTTTTTTTTTTTTTTTATTATTATTATTATATCAAATTTATATATATCCTTTAAAGTAGGGATAATTTAATGGAAAAGAAATCTAAACATAAATACTTTATCTATTTCATTAGAAGCATCACTTTTTAACTAAGGAACTTTCAAATCAAATTTATCATTTCTTTAGTTTTAGTTAATAAATTATCTTTATCTTTCTCATATTACACGGGTCCTCTTTTTTTTCCCTCTCAATCTCTTTGCATCTCCAAAAACGACCTAAAAATCCGTGTTTTTAAAAGTGATATATCTAAAACATAAATGTTGATTATTGACCCTAAAATAATTAAAAATACAAACTCCAATGATGATGACACTTATAATGGTTGTCAAGGAATTACTAACCTTTTTTTTTTCAAAAGAACTCAAATATGTGTTTCATGCACATTAACATGAGGTCACATGCGGGGCTTAGCCCCTTGTTTGCATCAAAAAAAAAAAAACAACAACTGTGAGGTCACATGCCAAATTAATATATAATCATTGAACACAATTGCTAATTATCAACAACGTAAAAAATAAAAAAATAATAAATAAATAAATAAAGTGCTAATTTCTCATTTCACGATACTACTTAATTATTTCAAGCAATAATATCTTCAATTTTCAGTATGTAAAAGTTATATAAAAATTTGATAATATGAAATGATAATTTAAAGCAAATCTAATAAGATTTTGCATTATATTTAAGTTTACCATAAATAATTAAATTAGTCAAACTGGAGTATATGAATAGTGTATAAGGCCCTGTCATTTCACCTTACAAAAATAATATTCAGCAAAAATAATTTTAGTTCAGTAAAAATAATTTCAGTTCAGCAAAAATAAGTTCAGTTTAGATTAGATAAGTTAAGTTCAGTAAAGATCAGTAACTTTAAAGAAGAAATATAACAGAAAATAAGTAACAAATAATTTCAGTTCAGTAAAATTAGTAAAAAATAATTCAGTTCAATAAAAATAATTTCAGTTCAGTAAAATTAATTTCAATTAAGTAAAAATAATTTCAATTCAGCAAAAATAAGGTGAAGTGAACGGGGCCTAAGTAAAAGAATTACATATCAAAAACACAAAAAGTAATGTGTATCAGTTTGGATTTTCTACCAAAAATTAAGTACAATTTACATATGTCCAAAATCTTGAATTGATCCACATCACTGTGATTCGATATTACTTCCATAATTTCATTTTAATCTAATATTAAGTCTTGAAATCACTTAAATCCTTACTTCCAATAAAAATTTATAATAAATTCTTCTTACCAAAAAAAAAAAAGCGTGATCAAGAAGTTTAGAGAAAAATGGTGAGACCAAAGATGCAGTTGGAGAAGTTGAATGGGGAGCTATCAAGAGAACAATACTACTTGCAGAATAAATCAATCGTGGAAAAGAAAGTTGAAGAAATGAGTTTTCTTACTGAAACTGATGTTTTTTTCCTTGGAGTTTCTCCTACCGGCATCCCTAGTCTTCATACGGGAAAAAATAGGCAAGCAAATCTTTATCTATTTGCATTGTATGTATCATTTCATTCATAATATATATTAACATTTAATACTTAAAATATAGTGAGATACAATTTGATATGAATTGAAGATTGAAACAATAGAACATCAATAGATATATATATATAATATATATATTATATATATATATATATATATATATATAATATATATATATATATATATATATATATATAATATATATATATATATATATATATATTTTAAAATGGTCACCATGCGCGTTCTTAAAATCCAAAAATATATGTAAGATCTTAATTGATGTGGAGAGTAATCGTGTAATTGGTGCACTGTTAAAAAGACCAATAGTTATAAGTCTTAAAAGGATAGATCAACAACACCGGTGATGTAAGGAAGAACAATTAAACAAACGCGAGATGTTACAAGCGTCCAACTAGGGTTTTATTTTGTTATTTTACACATACTTTTATAAATATACATTTGTTATTCTTTTTTTATTATTTTTTTTTGACAACATACATTTGTTATTCAACTACGCATAAAGTATTTTATTTTATTGAGGAAAGTCTTAGAATTTGAATAGTTCTTGGAATTAAAGTCGTTCATCAATTTAAATTTATGAAATACGCTATATATTTGATTTAGATGCAATCAATTTTTAATTTTTTTTTGTATCATATCATAAAATTTATCACGGTTACATACTTAAAAAATATTCATATAATTGTGGATTATCGAAACAATAATAAAATGATTTGATATTTATTTTTGGAAGCCATGAATGTTCTTAAATTTCGATTTTATAAGATTTAATTAAATGATGAGTAAACATGTAGCAGGCGCGCTATGAGAAACACCGGTACTTAAAAAAACATACATGAAAAAATAAAAGGAAAATTAGCCAGATTATTACAATTTAAGCTTTTAGGAGATTAGTTTTGTTCCTTATTTGCCTTTAAGAATATTATAGCTTAATTAACACAACAAGCAAGATTTATATCCAAAGACATTCAACTAAGCAAAAAGTTGGTAATTTTTCTTATAAAGAAAAGTCTCGTGAATTCGGATAGTTCTTTGAATGATAGCCGTTCATTTTGCAATTAGAAAATATATTTTATTTACATGCAAAATTTATTGAATTCTATTTGAATCTACGACGTATTAATAGAACAAATTCTTCTCTATACCCTTTGTATTACAATAACTTTTATTCTAGTCTTTGAATTTCAGTAATTTTGTGAATATGATGAGGTTTTCTATGATTCCTTATGGTGATAGAGAAAAGAGGTTAGTGTTTTACTTTGTAATTCCTCTATATCTTTTGTTTTACATCTTTCCATTAATTTGTTATACACTTACGTAAATTTGTTTATTATACTTTTCAGGAGACTTGACAACCTTCAGGTAAATATCTAAATTTCATTGATGAATAAGCCCAAATGATAATTTAACTTCTATTTACGATGTTATTGTACAATTAATTTATCAAGAATTTTTATTTACTTTTCTAATTAAGATGATTTAATTCACCTTTTTTTTTGTTATAGGTAAGTAAATAATAACTGGTTTTCTTTTTCTTTAAGCTTTATGAGAGCATTATATATTATTATTATATGTTATTTTTTCATTTGTGGTAATTAGACAATCAAGACTACTTATCAAAAAGAAGGATACACTGTAGATGTACAAACCCTTTCTGAGGCATGGTATGATTCTTTGTCCTAGATTCAAATGATACACTTCATACTTTATACTTCTCTTTTTCTACGACGTTACAATGCATGACTGCAGTCTTGAGAGAAGAGTTTCCTACTTTCTTGTGTACTTATTCTTTTTAAACAAATAAAAAGCGTAATGCAAGCACTCATGCAAATGTAGTATATTACTATTGTCATACCATATTCAAAGCCCATACATGTAAAAAGAATCAACAAAATTGGAGCATTGATTATTGTTGCTTCTCTCTTCCCCTTACTGTGAGCCTATCTTAGGGTTCGATTCTTGTTCATTAAGTACTTGTTTTCGTTGTCTCAAAAAAAAAAGTACTTGTTTTCGGATAGATTGAAGAAGTGGACATTGCAGTAATAATTATATAACAAAACATTTAAAATTAAATTGTACGTGTATAAAGTGTTTTATAAGTTGGGGTTAAGAGGTAAATAGGGCCATTTTCCAATCTCCAACAAAATACCTTACCAAACAAAACACACACACAATTACATATTAATAGTAATTTCAGTTTTAGAGCACATACACAAACACACAAGAATATATATACTTGTATTAATTATTTATTTAATTTATATTGATGAGAGAGAAATTGATGATAATATATTGATGATAATATATAATTTTTTAATTAATTTCAGGAAAGTCAAGACAGTGGAGGTTAGTACATCTTCCTTTCTTGTTTAATTTACTTCTCTAATCTTTTAATCGATTAAATCTTGAGTTAACTTGATATATATATTTTGATGTCATGAAACAGGATTTGGGACAAAAATTAATTGAGAAAAAAAAAAAGAAACTTGCTGATCTCAAACTAAAGAAGAGGTATTATATAGTTACTATGTGTA